CAACTGAGAGCTGGCCCATGAGCTGTTGAGCTCTGATCCCTCGCTGTCTGGCGCATGGAACGCACCTCAGGATGAATGATCTTACCGGGGCTCTTCCTCCGAGGATGCAGTAAGACCTTCTGAGTTGACCGAGAGTCAGCTGCGTTCCTCCATGCAGAGTCCTGAGATGGGCATCCTGAATGATGAGCTGAGCGAACTGCGAATCCCGAGGTACGATGATCTGATGCTTATTTTCGCAGTCAAGCTGAGCAAATTTCAGCTTGACTGTGAAAATTACTATCCCCTCTAACGCGTAGAACTCCCCGGTGGTCCAGGAACGCTGTCAATCGAGTGAGCGAGTGGGACGAACTAAGACGTTGCCCTCTGGACAATGTCGTAAGCTCAACTGAAAAATGCGCAGACCGAGTGAGCTTGACCCAAAGCAGTCGGGCCTGCTCGATGTCACCAGGGTTCAGAGCTATTGCTAACGATGATCCAGGAATTCTTCTGAGACGAGCAATGAAGCGTTGGCAGATGGCCGTAATTCGAAGCAATCTGTTCAGTGAAGAATAGCGATGAACTAAATCCCAAATCTGTATGCGCTGGACCTCCACGTTCAGAACGACACCAGGTTTCTCTTCAAGATCTGCTGATATCACTGAAGCAAGCTCTAGAGATGGCCACGTCGATGAGCTTTTCATGAGCCACGGTGGTTCGTGCCACCAGAGTTCATGTGCAGAGAGCTGCGCTGTCATTAGTCCACGAGATGCGCAGTCAGCTGGGTTTTCCTTGCCAGGAACGAGTTTCCATTGAGCTCGTGAGGTCTCTTGTATGAGTTGGACACGATTTCTCATGAACTCTTTCCATCTGGACGGGTGCAAGTTGATCCACGTAAGCGCAACTGAGGAGTCGGTCCATAAAAACGTCGGAGCGTTTGAGAGATTCAGCTCTCCTTTCACGTACTTTACGAGTTTGGCAAGCATAACCGCAGCTGTGAGCTCTAGCCTTGGGATTGTCAGCCGTTTGAGAAGAGCTACTTTCGTTTTAGCGCAGACCAAAGAAATCTGAGGCTCTTCATCTCCATTAACGATTTTGAGATAGACTACGGCTGACATCGCGAGAACCGAAGCATCTGAGAATCCATGGATTTCAATCGACGAGTTCTGGAGAGGGCCTAACCATCTTGGAACAGATAACTTCGAGAGCAGAGTGAGATCATTTCGAAAACTTTTCCAATGCTGGGCAACTTGTTCTGGGACTTCCTCATCCCAACCGAGCTTTCCAATCCAAGTCTCCTGCATGAGCAGTTTCCCTCTGATCACGACAGGAGATAGAAATCCGAGTGGGTCATAGATCTGAGCGATCTCTGAGAGGATATTCCTCTTAGAAACCTTCGATTCATCGCTGGTCCGACTTGAGAAGACGAAGTTATCCGAGCTGGGCTGCCACGACAAGCCAAGAATCCGGGTCTCCGCATCCTCATAAACTCGCTGGTCATTGGAGGTACTATCAAAAGCGAGCCACTGGAGTAGCGCTGGACTATTACTATGCCATTTTGCCAGAGGCATTCCTCCAGCAGCGCAGAGATCACGAACTTCTTGCGCGGTCCTAACGAGTTGGTCATGCGTGGCCGCACCTCCACAGATGTCGTCAACGTATCTTCCTTTCACGATAGGCGAGACGGCCAAAGGGAACCAATGTCCTTCATCCTCAGCCGGCTGAAGAAGAACACGGTTTGCGAGAAACGGAGCTGATCTCGTGCCGTATGTGACTGTTGTCAGTTGATACGTGACTAGTTCTCCACGTGAGTCGGTCCATAGAATCTGCTGCAGGGGCCAGTCATCCTCGTGAACTCTAATCTGGCGGAACATCTTGGTAATGTCCGTCATGAAGATGACTTTGTGCTGTCTTGACCAGAGCAGCACGTCCGAGATATCCCTCTGCAACTTGGCTCCTGTGTGGAGAATGTCGTTGAGTGAGTTCCCTGAACTGGTCTTCGCTGATCCGTTGAACACTACTCTCAGTTTCGTCGTTTCACTGCTCTCTCTGACTACACCATAATGAGGTAGATAGTAACTCCTTTGAGCGTCAGACGGCCCTACCTGAAGCCCTTCAGAGACCCTCAACCCTCCTGAAGCTTGCGCTTCATATGCTGTTATGTCCGGAGACGTGTCAGCGTCGAAGGACACTTTTTGGGTAGAATTGTAAATTACGGGACAAGAACAATCTAGAATTTTTGATATAAAAATATGGGAAAGCTAAATTTAGAAAGGAATTGTTAAGCCAGATACTTTTATATTTTGCTTTATATTGAACGACGCTAGGTGTAATTTATCTCTCTTACCTTGGTTTACGTTACTAATTTTGAGAATCGAAATTGGGATACTGAAAGGATGAGGAATATTTGAAGTAAGGAAATAGTCAAATGACTCCGAGACAATTTTTATGTTTAAAAGTAATCTTCTATAATTTCGACTTTGTTGATAATTACAAATGAAAAATTTACAATTTGAATCGTGTTTGAATTGTTGAATTTTGAAATAGATATTAAGTTAATATTTTATCCCTGAAAAGTCTTTTTACCAAGTCTGATAGTGGATTACTTTGGTTTTCAAAATGGTTGAAGGTTATTGATAATTGAACTTACAGTTGATGATGGTTTTAGTAGTAATCCTTATATTTCTAGTTGTGGATCCTTCAATGACACAAAGGTTTTTCTCCACCAGAATTAGAGTTTTCTCTGATCCTATTATGGATACTTCCTATTGGATCACTTTCACCCACTCGTGTACAATTTAACAAAGTGCGGAAAAGTGTTTTTAAGTGAGAATGTCCATAATCACGGAAGCTTAGTTAATTAGTCCTCTTACAATGCAAGAAACACTACTACTCTCGATTTTAGGATGCAGTATCCCTGCGCGACTTTCTTTCACTCAGCTATGAACTATGTTCAATAACTACCACTCCCGATAACCGTTTTCCAGGCGAGTTATGAGTAGCGGGGACCGAAAGAGACAGATCGATTCCGTCAGTAATTTCCACCAAGTCAAATTAACGCTCCGACGATTGCTTCTAGACCGGTTGTAATTTTGATTTTGGGGAGTGAATCGGTTCTTAGTCGATACACGATTTTGCTTTTGATTGGTGGAAATTATGGCGTGATTTTGCCACTTTTTATGCTTGGGGGGAATCGACCTGTTGGGTCAGCGGTTTTAGGCGCGCTGGATTTCGCACTGGCGATTCTTCACCTGCGGGGTGTTACTCTGTTGAAATCGCGAGTCCACTAGCCTTATGTTGGAATATGTTATTTGTTGATGCTGCACTTTTCGGGTTCTCGGTTGACGATGTGGCATTGGATAGGGAGAATAATCGGGAAATTGTGAAGGAAAGCTATTTCATAGATTTTTGGACATTACAGCCCCCGCTCAGAATCATTGTTCTATTTATGTGGAACTGATTTTGAGATGTGTGAATATTATGGTTTGATTGAATTTTTATTATTCTCGCTGGACGTAATCGTCTACTTAGCATTTTTATGCTGGCTTTGTTGTCTGGAGGAGGTGATCAGGTTTCTGTGATATCGGTCACTGGGTTTTCGGTTACGTCTTATCTCCGGATGTCNTCTTGAGTGAGTCTGACAGAAGTGGTGTTCACACTCTAATTCTTCCGTTGAGAGATTCGCGTCAGTGCGCCCAGGAACTTCCTCCTGAACCCAAAACTTCGTGAGAAGGTTGTTGAGCTCGTCGTTCGATACTCTCAGGTGATGAGAAGAGCAAGATGTTGGTTGATCAGGTCCCGCTGGCCCGTAGACAATCCAGCCAAAGCTGGTGAGTTAAGCGACTGGAGCCTGAACCCCTCCTCTAATCACGTTGGGCTTGATGACCTGACCAAAAACATCAGCACCGACGAGAAGGTCAATTGGTGCAGAGACTCGGAAATGAGGATCAGCAAGCTCTAAACCCTCGATATGATCCCACTTGAGGCCCTCTGTTGAAAAGGACGGTAGCGTTGAGGTGAGACGATCAAGGGAGTGAGCTGTAACTTCATTGCGTTCTTCTGAGTGGATCGATTGCAGCGTGAGATGTACTTCGCCGGACGTTGTCCCAAGCGATGATCCTCCCACTCCTGTTATGTGGACAGAACTAAGAGTTTTCTTTAAATTCACCTTCCGAACTAGTTGATTTGAGATGAGCGAGAGTTCGGAGCCTGAATCCAACAAGAGTCGAGCTTGATGCGGAGGGCAATAGTCGCTCACTAGAAGAGCTAAACAAGTTGCGAGAAGGACTCCAGGCCGAGAGGTTTGCGCAGAACAACTATGGGCCGAACAAGGAATCGACGCTTGGGACGGTCCGCTTCAGGCCTGAGAATGGGCTGAAGAAGCAGCCTGAGCAGCATCACCGGTGTGAGTGTACGTCACGACAGGAACGTTGGTCGATGGAGCAGAAGCACTCGGGCGCTGAGCTCCTGCATCGTTGCGAGGGACTTGAGCTGCTGGACCACGTTGAGCTGGACGACGTGCGCGATCAAAATGCAGCAGGGAATGGTGCCTTTCCTGGCATGTCCTGCACGTTCGAGTGGTCTGGCAGACTCTGATACTGTGCTTCCCCAGACAGTTGTAGCACAGATAGAGTCGTTCGACAACCTCCTTCCTTGCTGTAGGTGTAAGCGACTTGAACCCGCTGCAAGAAGCAATGTAGTGATCCATCTTGCAATAGGAACAAAGCTAACCCGCGTCGGCCCAGGACGTCGACTTTGTGGACTGTATTTGCGCTGGACTGGGAGATTTCTGGGCTGACTGCTGCGCATGCGAAGCCACCGAGGCTTGATTGACCTTGGCACTACTCTTGGTCATCGAACGAGTCTGGACGCTGGGCTGCGAAGGACGAGAAGCGTCGTTCGATGTGTGCACCGAAGACCCAACCTCCAAGGTCTCCATGGCTCGTGAACGACCTTGTAGGAAATCGAGGAGATGTTCAAGCGTCGGATACTCAGTCGAGGCTCCAATTTTATTTTCCCATGCCTCACGAAGCTTGTTTGATAAGCGACGAGTGAGCACGTGGACGACGATTGGACCCCAATGATCTGATTGGCTGATCCAGTGCTTTGAGCGCGCTGAGTGCCTCAGAAACGGAGCTCGTCAATAAATTAAGGTCTGAGGCACCGTGCGTCTTCATTGGAGCAGGATTGAGAAGCTGGTCAAGGTGAGCTGTAATCAATAAGCGCTTGTTCTCGTATCGATCGACCAAGATTCTCCATGCGATGCCGAAGGAATCTTCAGAGACGGGCAAATTAGAGATGAGCTTCAACGGTTCATTGGAGAGACAGAGACGGAGGTAGTGCATTCGCTCGACTCCAGGAATCTCCAGATTATTCCCGACCAGCGAATGGAAAAGGTCTCTCCATGGCCTCCACTCCTTATACACTCCAGAGAACTTCGGCAACTCAATCTCCGGAAGAGCTCTGCGCGTTGAACTTTGTAGTTGCGCTTCGCCAGGAACTCGAACCGATTGGTTGAGGTTAGGAGCCCCCTTCTTCTCCAACGGCTGCAGCAGCGCTACTCTACCTGAAGCGTAATGCTTAAGTGCGACATCGAAGACCTGATTCTTAAAATAATCGAGAGAGGTCAAATTCTCGATCTTCTGGCCGACGAGTTTCTCATGGGACGCTTCCAGCTTCGCCCAATACGTTTCCAGCATGATGAGCTTGGAATCCAGAGCCGTCACGCCGAACTGCTGGATGCTCTCCTCCTGTGACTCCGTGTAAATGCCTTCGATGAAGGATGCACGTGTCATCTGCAGCGAGATCAGCGCTTCGAGAGTTGCCATCTTGTGGAATTGTCAACAAAAAAAGAAAGAAAACCAACAAGAAAAACCACAACCTCGATCAACTGCTGCGAAAAACTAAAAAANCAATACATTTCCAGCATGACGAGCTTGGAATCCAGAGCCGTCACTCCAAACTGCTGGATGCTCTCCTCCTGTGACTCCGTGTAAATGCCTTTGATGAAGGATGCACGTGTCATCTGCAGCGAGATCAGCGCTTCGAGAGTTGCCATCTTGTGGAATTGTCAACAAAAAGAGAAAGAAAACCAACAAGAAAAACCACAACCTCGATCGACTGCTGCGAAAAACTAAAAAAGAAACAATAAGCGAACGTGCCAGGAGAGATGTTCAAAAATAAACAAAGAGCCCAGAACGCAGGTCAAACAGCAAGAAAAAGCAATATGCGAAAAACAAAGCGTAGCCCAAAACTCCAGCGCAGATCCAAAAAGCGTTAAATCGAGAAAAAAAAAAATCACATGCAGCCGAACTTGAGGAAAAATCAGCAAAACCCCAGAGAAGCGCAAAAAATTATAATTAATTTGACTTCCCTTTTTGAGCGAGCTGCACGATAATCCACCTCCTTCAGCGCAGGTCCGTAACACCCTGAGGTAGGTCGTTAGGGCTTTCCGATGATCCAAGATACCCAAAGGTGGTCAATAATTCCTGGAGTAGGCCTGGAGTGACGCTGATACGGTCCTGATGAGCGGAAATTCTGAAACGGGCCTTCAGTGCTGGAGATACGGCCCTGAAGACGGAGTATCCAGGGGTGGGGCGATGAGCGGGATCGACACGTACCTGGTAAGTAAGACCACTGGTGCGGGGCCCTCCGATCAGGTGTTACGGCACTGCACTGGCGTCCCCGTACTCCCGCGAAAAACATGAATGCCGCGAAAAAACACAGAAAAAACCGAAAAATATTCCACCTATCCGGCTCGAAGGACCAAAATGTTTGAGCTCGGATCTGGTTTCGGAAATATTTTTGAGCGATGGGCAAAAAAACGATGGATTTCTACGGGAGCGCGAGAAGGTCCAGAAAACACAACACGTGCACGTTGGTCACAATAGTCAATTTAATTATGAAAAAGTCAATTATTTACACGTGCTAGCTTTAACTATAATTAACGAGATGGTCAAACAAATGCGCGGGTCACAAAATTATTAAATAAATGCAGTTCACAGAATTTAGATAGCGCAGAGCAATTAGTTCTAAGAAATTGAGCAAAACAGCGACTTCGCGGAAAAGTGATATATACTGTACGATGGCCGATATGCAAATGAGGCCGATTGAAAGACCGCAAGGTGGCAGGTGTCGATCATTGTGGGTCCAAGAGTGCCCCAATTTAAATGGGGGCGTTCGCTGGACACCTGTCCATCAAGTGGCGCCTCAAGTGTCAGAGGTGAGAGGCCACTGGTCAGTTCAGTCGGTTGCGCAGGTCAGTCCTGAGAAGCCATGCAAGCATGCGAGAGGAGCGAGTGTGCGTGAGTGTGCGTGTGTGCGAAAAACAATTCGGTGGAAAACCGAACATACAACGTTGGGCTCCCCGAATGGACTACTACCGAAATCTACCTGTAATAATCGGCATATATTAGTCGTTCCCGATTATTTCTCACGTTGGCCCGAGGCTATTGCCATTCCGGACCACCAAGCCGCTACAATTGTCGAAGCACTAATGGTTCATGTAGTCTCTCGTTTCGGGATACTACTTGAAATCCATTCAGATCAGGGTCGAAATTTCGAATCTGTTATTTTCAATGATTTGATGTGCCTCTTCGGTATTCATAAAACTCGAACGACTCCACTCCGACCTCAATCAAATGGCATAGTTGAGCGTCTTAATAAAACAATCCTGAATTATCTCGCGAAGTTTGTTGATGATAATCAACGTGATTGGGACAGGTGGCTCCCACTATTTTTACTAGCCTATCGCTCATCCAAACATCAAACAACCGAATTTTCTCCAGCCATGTTGATGTTTGGTAGAGAACTTCGTCTCCTATTGGATTTAGATAGAAGAATAAAAAAAAGTGCGGCTGGTCACTTAAAGCGCCCAGAGTCACCTAAATCATACGATCTTTTGTAACTTCCGCCTTAGTTTCGGTCAGTCACACAGCCCCAGCCCTGTGTTTCTCACTAGGCTAATAAGGCTGGTGACAGCCGCTTGTTGTAAGTCCTCTGGTTTCAGGAAAGCCTGGCCCCAGATTTTATAGCGACGGAGTGCTAATAGGGGGCATTCACATAAAATGTGGATGACGCCCTCCTTATCGCCTCCGCACAGTCTGCAGTCTTCTTGTTCTGCAAGTTTCATCTTGAACAGATGAGCTCTGAGAGCTG